TCCTTGTGAAAAAAATTGTTATACAAATTTTATGTACACCATTTAAGGGGCTGTATCTTAACAAGGGATGCTCCAATGAAATTTTTTTATATGAAAGTTCCTTTCTTTTTTTCGATGAAGAATCACCTCCTCAAATGTTTTACACTTATTTAGTTACACCCTGTATATCATAAAATACAACTATACATTTCCTTCCCAAAAATTGTAGTAGGTATCAAATATAAAACAAAATCCAAATTTTCATTTAAGTTTGCTGAAAGATCAAAAAGTAAATAACATTTCGTTCATTTGAAACTTCCGTATATTTTTGCTCTTTGGGCTGCTGACACAAAATCTACATTGAAGTATTCGACATCATGCAAAATTAAATGATAAAATGTATTTGTGAGTTGCCATTCCTAAAAACAATAATCAAATTATTCAAACCCTAAAATTAACTGCACTTTGGTTTGTGCGAAATGAAGATAAGTATTTTTATCAATTTCACAAAAAATAAATATAAACATCAAAATATCTCTTACAATATCAATTCTGATTGAAATAACCATTTCACCAGAAAATCAATCATTTTTAAACCTTCCAATTTAAAAGTTGAGATGATAAATTTAATTATGCTTCACTGTAATCACAATTTAAAAAATTCTGTCAGATTATATGAAAACCGTTGTACAATTTTATTGCTTAATTCAGGGTAATTGTTTCAAAATACTTCAATGTATAGAAAACTCTAATTCTAATGATTTATTTCATTGATAGTTATCCACTTTTGTTTCTTCTATAAACATGTTTGTTTCTTTAGATCAATAGAAACAAACATGTACTCACATGTTTGCACATGTGAGTACATGTACTCACATGTTTGCTTCTATTGAACATGTGACTCACCTTTTTGGGAGTATGAATGGGGGCAAGTGAATCCAAGTCAGTAGCGGGGAACTCAATTCCCTTGGCAAGTAGATCTTGATATACCGATATCACACCTGACATATCAGGTTGTGACTGAAAAGCGCTAGCCCAGGACTGTATAAGACTAAGGACCTTTTCCTGAACTGCAGTCGGAGGATCATTTTTTGGTCCAATTAACTTCACCTGAAAAAAGACTGTGAAGTAACACTCAACTCTGCAGATGGTTCTGGTGAGTAAAATATATTCGAGAAGAAATCTAACAGGGAAACAGTAAATATATTCAGTGATGTTGATATGAAAATTTTAAATGGAATATTTTATTTAAAAAATCAAAGANCTACCTCATCGTATGATGTTGTTCAAGTAATATGTCTAATTAAGTTTAAATATAAAAAATATGTCCTGTTTGAGACTGATAAATAGTTATTTTAGAGAGATTTACTTTGTTGCGTTGAAATTTTTAAACGTATTTTGAGATTTTGTTTATGTTCAGATATTTTGTAATTTTGTTATTGTGAGTTTATAAGAATACGAGTTCCATGCAAAGCTGTATTAATTATACATTCATTAATAAAAAAAAATATGTCCTAAATATATTTATTTTTCTTTATATTAGTCAGCATAACCTATGTTAATTTTTACCCCTTCTGTTAATACTTGCCCCATACGTGTTAATTCTAGCCCCAAATCTGAGGTAACAATTAACAACCACCATTTTTAGAAAAAAGCGTTCTATTTCTATCTACGGCATTGTTACTATTAGGTTTGTTTTGAGATAATTAAGTAATTCCTGAATGATTTTAGCATCATTTATCTCAAAAATCAAGTCTAAATGTTGAATTATTTCTTAGCTACAACAAAAAATATATTTTTTGTTAATTGTAACCCCGGTCTCCCCTATAACCTGTATTTTTTCATCTAAATCCGTTCAGTCGTTTAGGCGTGAAAGAGCCACAAACATACATACATACATACATTTATCCATCCTCACAAACATTCACAGTTATATTAGAATAGATAGATAGTTACAGTTACACAAGAAAAGCTCCTGTAAACTATTTTAGAAAACTTTATAAATCAACTTACCAATTCTTGAATGAAATCCTTGTTACAAACCAAAACGTGAAATCTTTTTCCACAATTTTTCACGCAGGTTTCAAGTATGGTCAACGTATACATAACAACTGTATAGTTTTTTCCTGCATTCAGAGTAAGTCTTTTACGTATGGCTTTAATCGCATCCCTGGGCCCTTCTTCTGTCTCATTAACCAAATCACATATCTCCATGTTGAGAGCCCAATTTTCAGATGCCAATGTTCCATCTGTAGCTTGTTCTGAAAAGATAAGGAAATATTGTTCATCTACATTATTATCATGATTAGTGTTATTAATTTTAACCAAGTAACGCGTCAATGTAGCATTGAAGAACTATTTGTTTTATTGATTTACATAACCATATTTGTTTGTTTTTTTTTGTTATCAATTAGATCAGTTCTGAAATAGCTCCATTTTTGAAGTTATATATTTATGTATGAGTATTTCTTGTATAATCAATTCCCTATACAAACCATTGCAGTTTCTTGGGAATAAATAAATAATGAAAAAAAATATTATTATGTGTAAACTTGGTCTCAATTTTTT